GGAGACCTGGCGGTGCCGTTGGACGACGAACGGAGCAACGAAGCGACGAATTAGTAGCTCCTGGCCTTACTACTAGTAACAAGAAGCAACCAGGAACAAAGGGCATCTCTACGAACGGAGCAAGAAGCTACGAACGTAGGTTGGACTCGGAGCACAGTTCCACGTTGTTGGCTCATCCAGCGTCGTTCAAATCGAAAAGTTCCAAAACCCACACCTTCTCGGTTTCGGCCATCAGTCAGATACAAAGAACTCCTTATACTGTTAGGACCTGTTGACTCAATCTCGTTGCCACCAGGCCCCACTTCTGAAGTTGTTTGTTCTGCACGGGCTCAAGCCCTAACTTCATGGGCTTCATTTCGCTGAGATGTGTGGGTCATATTTTGTCATATTATTGGCATCAATCATAGTTGCCCCCATCTGCCCCCCCAATTCCAAATCCTAAGTATTTAGGCCGTTTTAGGCCGTGAAGCATCAAATGAACACTCTTCTCCAATGATCCACTCTCTTTTTTCCACCGCCTGTCGCACCGCTGTTCGCCTGTCGCAGTCGGCGCCGCCGGGCCGTGCCTGTTCCCCAAGGAAACCATGATGATCCCAGAGAAGCAGGAGGCGCATCGTCGTTGCGGCTCCGAACCGGTTGGGGGGGGGAAGACCGAAGACAATGCGAAGGAAGAACCCCGCAAGAAATGTGAGTCCGAAGATGTTCTGAGAGTTGGTTGCACATTTTCTACGAGGTATGCATGTTGGGCCCTATACAAATGAAGCATCCACTTGTAACATGCGACTGTGGTGAAGGATCTGAACAAAGAAATCCTATTGAAGCAGCTTGCACTCAGCTCTGGAGCTATGAAGGGGTCTGGCCCACACCCACTTCAGACTGGCGAGACGATCTTGTCTTGGTGCCAGTCTGAGAATGTTGCCACAGGCTCTTGTCCGATCTGCAACTCCTTCTCTTCGTCGCCGGAGTTGACAGAGAAGTCATGCATTTCCTTAAGAATCCTTGGGCTCTCCATGGCAGGGGTCAGGCCCTCCATAGCAGGGGTCTGGGCTCGAACCAAACCCTATCTGTTGCTTCGGGCCCGGATTCTTAGGGTTTTGAGGAAAAGCAACACAACAACTTCGGCCGCTCAGGATGGCACGGTGCTTCTGGTCTCGTTGACAGACAAGAAGCTCAAGCAGATGGCTCAGCACTGAGCGTGCGGTGAGGCTACTTGGACCGAACCGACACGGAGCAAGAAGCGCCCGGTGTCCTAAAGTAGGGACCACAGGGGCTGCTTTGTTCAATTGGACAGACCAACAACTGAGTTGATCAGGTGGGCTTTGTATTATCCAAGAATCCTATAATGGTCGAATTTTCGGACGCCTTAGATATGCGCACCTAACCGTATGCGTGAAAAGTTATATTAGCTTCCATTTTCAGTACTTCTTCTTTGGCCTGCTGTCCGTGCGAACTTTTGTACGGGGGCAGGTGGTTCAAGAGTTCTAGGTTGCTGCGAGGCTTTTCAGACTTTGTGGAAAGTAAACTCTAGCACATCATAAGTCATAAGCCTCAGATTGTGTAGCCTTCGCGGTCACTAGCCTGGTCATGGATTCCTCAAACTGAATCACCTCCAAACAATGCCCTTGCTAAGTCCTTGTTGGGCATAACCATGAATGTTTGTTTTTCAAAACTGATTTAATACTTGGTGCAGCGTTCTCTTTCACTAAGGGTGGTTGGAGCATAATGATTTGTTCCCCCAAAAGTGGATCCGCCTTGCCCGGGCCGTTGGTGCACGGCACAGTGGCGTGTTTTTTTCCTCCCGAACGCGACCTATAGGATCTTTCAACACGAGTGTGTCTTTCTCTCGGTTCCTACACGTAGCCGGCGCAGCGCAAGGCGTTGCAAACACTTAGGTTTGTTTCCCATGTTTCTGGGTAGTGTCCACATGGCCGATTGGCGGTCCGATCGGGGCAGAATTGCGGTCGACTCGTCTCGTCCTTGGATGTCCTTCGACAGAAATCCAGCGAAAACACGCCAAAGCGGTCTTTTTTGGATGTGAAAAGAATCCTGTATACTGTATACAATATATAGATTATATATAGATATATATATATATATATGTATATTTGTATTATTATTGATTCTTCAGGCTCCTAGTAGCCTTCTTGTTCCTAGTAGTAAGGCCAGGAGCCCCCAGTAGCGTCCTTGCTCCTAGTAGCCATGCCAGGAGCCCCTAGTAGCTTCTTGCTTCTACTAAGATCCCCCTGGTGGCCTCCCGCAAGTGCTTCGTATCGCCCGCGTCATCCCCTTCGTGTCCCGAACACGTTCCGCGCGTCATGTTCCGCGTGCTTTGATCGAGGTGATGCGGCGCGTTTTTCGTCTGTTTTGTATATGCGGCATGATGCGGCAGAAGGGCAGAGTCGAACTCGAAAACCCCCTGGTCGCTGCGTCCAATTTTTAGCAATCTGGCATGCAGGATGATGATACACTCTGCAATAAATCACATGAGCTACGTAAAGAGGGGTAGGTTTGTGCACCAAACCCTTGCAAAACGATAAGGTCCACCTGAAAACCGTTAACCCCAGCGTTGTGGCCATGATCATAAGTATGCGTTTCAACGCATGGAAACGCAAAAAAACACCGTAAAACAATAAGGTCCAATTGAACACCGATGACGTCCATGTTTTAGTTGATGAAGGAGTGAATGTTCCGTCCCTCACATGAATGTTCCGGGTGTTCCATGAATGTTCTAAGCATCTTGAAGCATTTGATTCTGATCTTGCAGCCTGTGTTACCAAGAAGGGATTGGGGCATAGGGCTCACACTTCCCAGGTGTTGTTCTTGTCAATATCTTGTGATCTCTTGGGATCAAGTAGAGATGCACTCAAGTAGAGATCTGACCCTTTCTAGGGGAGGATTGAAACAAACTCTGGACTTCTGGACTTTGCCATTGTCCACGGTGTTGTTGCTGTGACATGTTCTAAATCCTATTCGACTTGCCAAGCATATGTTGCTCTAGGCTGATTCTCTAGGCTGACGTTGCCTCTTCAGAGAGTTTGCGTGCGCTAGGACTGGCCACGATTCACAACCAACCAATCTTTACATTGGTTGGTTTGGGTTGGTTAGTTTTGGTAAATTTGGTTTGGATGAACATTTTGACTTGAAGTCAGCACATTATTTTACTCATTTGTTTCTTGATGTAAATCAGCTCATCCTGCCCGCCATACTTAGAGTTTTGCTGGGCGGCGTATTTGTCGGAGCCAGATGAATCATGACATATTATGGCGCAACATGATTCTCTCAAGACCTTCCTAAAGACTGACTTGGAAACTGTTATATAGACCTTAAGACTGTTTAAAACCATTTGTAAACAAAGCCTTTGGCCAACTGCCTTTTGGCGGTGTCCATATTTAAGAAGGGCAACTTCTTTGGCTCAGCAGGGATTCCTGTTTGTACAGGCCTTCAAATTGTAAAACACCTCCCATTGGTGGGCAAACCACTGCAACTCAGTAATTTGCCCAAACTGATCGTCCCAATTGACCAACGGAGGACCAACACCACGTCCGTTCGTTTGGCTTCGACGGATGTGTCAAATGGCCTGCCTCGACGGATGTTTTTCGCCGACGGAGTCTCCATCGGGCGATTTGGGCGATTCGACCATCTCCTGGTGCTTCGGCTGGCAGCGGTGAGGACGGGAGAAGGGTTGGAGGGGATGACCATGGAGTTGGGTTTGTCAGGAGAATAAGGTGTACTCAGTGTACTCCCATTGATTAATTACGACTGGAAGATAGGCAGGAAGCTTCCGTTGTGTGTTTTTTGTTGACTCGTTCTACACTTCCTGCGCATCAACAGTGCTTAAATTGGCAAAAAACAGAAAGTTTCCCGTGTTGGCAGCATGGCAATGCATGGCAGCAGCAGAGGGAACTTGTGGCTCTCCAGTTGGTGCTTCAGACGGACCGCGCTTGGACGGACCGCGGCCCCTGCGCCACCCCCTAGATGGATCCGAACTCCTAGCGGCGAAAACAGCGGCTTCGATGATTTTAAGTCTGTTCCTCCGGGTGGTGGGTGAGTGAAAAGCCCCCGGGGGTATCCCAAAACAAAGAATTCCACCATAAGAAATGCGCTCAACCTGGCAGATTTATGGCGAAGAAACAGGTACCACGAACAATGCGATGCATCATGTCAGATTGATATTTGGTGGTTGACACGTGTTTTTGTGCTTCGACTCGGGTATAGCGAGGACGACCGTATACGGTCCGGTCCGCAGTCGCGGTGGACAATTCCAGCTGAAAAAAAATCAAGCAGAACACAATTGTGTTGATCCACGATGACCATTTTGGATATGTCCAAATTACAATGCAAGATGTACAAAAGGGCATCAGTGCCATGCGAATTTTAGGGCCATCCATGTGTTAGGCTGTTCTTCAACTTTGCTTCACCAACTTTAGAAGCCACCGATCACCAGGACAACTACAACATCGCCTGCCGTGGCCCAGACTTTGAGAAGTCGCGCCAAAAAGATGCCCTTTGAGATGAGTAGACGGTCCCAGGCGTGAAGACTGTTGGTGAGTCCAAAAAACCACTTAGGGGGATGTGGTTTCCTCAGGTGCCAAAAAGCCAACCTCTCATCAGCATGCAAAATGAGTTTACTTGGGTGGAGTTCACCTGAGTAAGAAAGGGCACATCAACGTGCAACCTTGGCAGTGTTTGACGTATCCTCACCCATGCTGTCAGGTCTCCTGGTATTTTCATATTGTTGCATGTCGTTCAACAACCCCCGAGTTCCCAGCCATCTCCAGCTCTCCTTTTGCAACCCAGAGATGAAGTTGGTTGAGGGGGTTTTGTCCCTTCACCCTGAGAGAGGTGGAACTCAGTGCATCTTTGGTCATGTTTGAAAGGCAGCCAGTAGCTGTTGTGACCCCTTTCTACTACCCCTTTCTACTAGCCAGTTTACTTGTCACGATTTTGTGGGGGTCGCAGTCACCTGCTTCGCAGCCACCCCGGACTCTCCCTTGCACGAGGGGCTCAGTGGATCTGGTGTGGAGCTCAGTGGACGGCGGAGACCGTGGAGCTCCTGTCGATGCAAAACGCTTGAGGAAGGGTCAGTGGAAGTCCAACTTAGACCACTATATGCCACTATGACTGACTTATCATCTGGTCCCACCTGGGAGTGACCCTAGATTCTCATGTACTGTATATATATAATGTGAGCAGAATTGTGCTATCAAGTGAGGTACATAGAGAGCAAGATATTGTCGATGTCATTTGTTGGAAGCCAAGGCCGTGCCTTTTATTCGGCTTGAGCGCTTGCTTTGCCAAGGCGAGTGCTTCAAGCTTGATTTTTTCTCTATACTATAACTCTGACTCTGACAGTCGAATTTTCTGGTGTTCCAGAATTCATCGGAAGGATACAGGATCAAGAGGCTGTCGCAGGAGATGTTCCAAACGAAATGTACATCGCCGCCCATGCCGTAACGTGAAGATTTCATTGTGTGGCTCAATGAGCTTGCCAATTACTATAGTTTTGGGGGGGTGCACATGATTTAGCCATGTGCTCAAGAAAGGGATTATACGATTGAGCTTACATGCATGCGCCTGTTGGATAGCGTTCCAAAAGCTGCAGGTGATGTCTTAAAGAGGTTTTGTTCAATTTACAAAGTGGATAGGTGAAGGATGATAAAGGGCTGGGAATCCCTAAGTCCACACCTTGAGCCAGTTGAAGCTTTCTTTTGTGGTGGGTTCCACGCCTTGTCACCCTTGTCACCCTTGTCATGTGGAACCTGAAAGGCAAAAGGTGAACATAGAAGTGTTTCGCGTGCAGATCTTATCTGACTGGTGCGACGAAAGTAGGGAATGAGGGAATGACCACCCAACAGAGATTCCTTAGGGTCCATTCCCTCATTCCCTGCTTTCGTCGCACCAGTCAGTGGAAATGGGTCGGGCCATATAGAACCCTCATGGCGACGTCTCTCGTTTGCCAGACCAACCTGTGGCGAAAGCAGTGGGATGCGCGACTTAGCGGGCATTGTGATCGAGGGCGGTGCGAGAGACCCTCCCAAAATAGGAGACAGTGGTTTCAGAGGTGAGAAATGGCACGTTTCCCCCAAGATGTCCTAGACAGTATGGGGATCCACTACTAAACCACCGTGACTTGGGGGCCCCTGTGCCATTGGTCCTCTCAATCCACGATACAATGAGAGTCTTTGGCCGTTGCTGAGCAACTTGCTGTCATCCTTCCTGGGGTAACCAGCCACCAAGCAAACCCTGGTGTGGTTCGATTGCACGTTCCACAACACTATACAACACTCTTATGTTGAGGGCCTTTGATCACGAGTTGCACGGGAAGAATTGCCCCACAAGTATAAGCAAAGACAAATATCATCAAATAAATATCACAAATATCACAAAAAAATCACATAATATCATCACATAATATCACATAAATAGTATCATCAAATATCACATAAATGCACCCGAAACCCAGAAGCACAATGGCTCAACTGAACTCTTCCACCCGTCGATCTCGCGTCCAACTTGCCTTGGTGGATGGAGATCCAGTTGGAAGGAGATCCAGTAGCTGGATGTACCGTACAGAACAAACTGCAGACAGACAGCTTCTTCAGTTCGTGACCAATTGAAGGTTCCTTTTCGTGACCCAAACAGGAGGCTTAAGTGACCGAACCAACCAACCAGGTGATCAAGTTCGGTCACTTTTTTCAGAACCAGGAGACAGATGGTTTTTTTCGCGGACTTCTTCGTTCACAATAGGGGCCGTGGACCGGAAGGCCCGCCGATGTCGTGTGCTCACTGGGAGTACGTCAACAGCTAGGGATGAGTAGAGTACGTCAACAGCTAGGGTTACAGAACAAGGACTTGATGCAACAAGGACTCGGAACAGGTTGCAGCTCGGGTTCCAATTTGTTTGGCATGGAACCCTTAAGACTCGACGCTTCAAAGACCATTGTGGCATTGGTTCCACAAGTCAGTTGTGTACGACAATGGTTTTCAGAGTTCATATACTTCTATAAGACTCCGGAAGAAATCTCACCGATACCCAAGATTTGACCATATCCTAGTCAGTGCACGGACAACATCCACCGAAAAAGAATATCTTGGTGGTAACACCTGGGATGTAGTATCTCTCCGGAGCCCCAGCCACCGGTGTTCCCCCGGACGCCTGAAATCAGGCGCATACCGAGCCACCGAGCCCTGCGCCTCAGGAGCGCGGTGTTGAAGCCCTTTGAGAAGCGACGCATCCGGAAGCCACTCGAAGCCACTTCTCCGGCCGAAGGTCCAGGAGATCCGAACCGGTCCATGGCTGGCTGACCGACCGACTCAAACGAGACCATACGATGATGCCCTCCTCCAGGAGCTCCTCCAAGTCATGGCACTCTGAAACGATCACCTCTGGCATTCTCTTTCCAAGCAGCGGTGAAACACATGTGACACATGATGTGACATTTCAGTAGCACGGAGCTGAGGTAGCACCTTTTACTACGCGGTCCCTGGCAGGTCCTACAAAGGGTCAACAGGTTCATGGTCGGGCTTGTAAGGTAGCACAGTCCGCAAGCTTCTTCACATAGACCGCCTGGAGGAAGTGTGGTCTTTAAGGCTTTGTAGGACGAACATCCTGGCAGTTCATAGATCTGCGCATGGTTTGACCTCCTCTATCATTAGTTTAAGGTGTTAATGTGCTACTTCTATTCCTTATGTTTGGTAATTTCTGAAGTAAGGAGAAGCCACAGTATAACATGGGTTTCATCCATGGAACCTTTGGTCCACGGATCGGAACACTACGACACTCCGATCTCGGAATGGATGTTTCGGAGAGATGAGCTGGCTTTTTCTGTTTCCCAAAAAAAGCTTTCAGCTTTCTGGGGTGTTGGCAACGCTGAGGTTCACAGAAGCTGGATACCACGTAGGATATGCACCCTGGCGGCTTTTGCAAGGACTGTGATGTGTTTTTGAACTGTTTTTGTTTCGTCGCTTCATGGTGAATGTCGAGGGAACAATGGGAAGACAGGTGGCGAGACTGCCATAGACCGCCACTGTTTTCAGAGTTCATGGCATCCGAAGAGGTTGTTGACGGTGACTGGGAAGGATTCTCCATGCTTTGGGCTTTTGAGGTTTTCACCTGACGCCCCTTTTGTAGCTCTTTGGGGATAAGGATGGGCTGACAGGCCTACTGATGAGGGTTTCTGCATTTGTCATGCTTCCGGTGATTTTCTGTTTTGTTCAGATGAAGGGGAATGCGCTTGACTCATCCAAATTGGACTCTGCTGGCTTGCCCAGCTTCATTGTACTTGCTACTCAGCTGACTTCGAAGACGGCCAATAGACGGCCCCACCGATGGCCTTCACAAGCCCGTCCACTGGTCAACTTGCATGTAGCTCAAACATGTACATGAACATGAACTGAAACCCACACCCTGCTGACAGCTTAGGCTCGCCGAAGTTGGCCCAAGTCCGTCCCCCTGTGTCCCAAAGGGCTTGAGGCCTTAGGGCATTTCCCCAGACGGAGGTCTCCAAGTATATGATATCTCTTGACAAGGTAGTTGGAGCCTCCAATCACCCACCCCGTTTTCACCTACAACCTGCATTCAGGAGCTAGTTGGAGCCCTAGGATTCCAGCCACACCATGCAACACCTACCACCTGCATGTCACCTGCTCGTCTCCACCTGTCTCATCCTCACGAGGTCACTCATCCTCACGAGGGCGTTCAGCTGGGCAAGGCCGTGGTCGGCGCGCGATGGAAGTCTCGGTGTTTCGGAAGTAGACCTCCATAGACCTCCGAATATGAACCAAATCGTCGGTATTGTTCCTGGGCAGATGTTTGTGGATTTTGCATGATGTTGGGTGTTGCTGGAATAGGGAATCAATATCGAAATGTTGCATCCGTGCGGCAGTATGCCTTGTTTCGATGTAGCTTTGCTGGAAGAACCCCTTCAGGATAGTTATTTTCTCAGTTCATTTCATTAAATCCAGCTTTCAATGTAGGCCGATCAGTGTATGTTGGACGATGGTTCATCTTTATTGTTTACCCTCAGTTCGTGTCAACACATCCCATATGAACGACTAATCTTAAGAACATGTACACACTGTAAATCATCATCTAACATCTCGAGCGAAATCCTCCACGTCCTAAGCACCCCACTAGATCATTCTCATAAGACCCCTCAAGAACAAGCAAGCCCAGCAAGGACGATGAGAACATCGCAGTGGACAAAGAGGCCATGGAGCGCTTAGCCAAGGAGCCTGTGATCTTGAGGCGCCTTGTTTGTTGTTGGTATGGTACGTTTCGCGGAGATGCGATAAACAAGCATGGCATTGATCACTTAAGCCCTTGTTTCTTATCCAGTTATCCAAGCAGATGCATGGAGATTGGCGGCACAAGCTCATGTGGTCCAAACCCATCCCGGCGCATCGCCGGCATCACTCGCCCGCACTCGGAGAGGTTGGATCGATCCGGGCGGGCCATCAAGGAGGGAGAGAAAGTCGACGGGCGACTTGGTGAGTTGGATGGGTGGGCGAGAAGCTTTCGGTCGGGGTGGAGGGTGTTTATATATGGGGGCACGGTGCAGATGGGCACGGTGGTAGTAAGAATATCGAACGAAAGAAGATGCAACAAGTATAGTACTGTAGAATAGTTGATGGGTTTTTCCTTTGCTCCGGTGGATGTGGCCGATGTCTACTTGAGTGTATTGATAAACGCTATATGTTGAACTTTCTGAATTCTCACTTCTTCGCATGTCAGAAAAAGGACCAAAGCCTGGTCCAAGAAGCACAACAACAAGTATAACACAATCCAACATGGCAACCATCGAAGATCCTCACCAAGCGCGTTTGATAGCAGAGTTGCAAGGGAAAGATGGAAGGGATTGAACAAAACGCGGTCAGCCAGCTTGCCAAGCTAATCGTTATAGCACTCTCCCGGGGGGGGCATTTATCAGTTGTTTGCTTTACTGGTGGATCTCATACGAGGACAGGAAAGGTTCTCATTTCTTCCCATGATTTGATTCACGAAATCAGATCCAACGCTCTGAATAGAAGTCGCTAGATGACGTGGCGAATCGCTTCCATTTGCGTCGCGGAACCACAAGAAGCTACTAGCGGCTCCTGGCCCTACTACTAGGAGCAAGGGCGCTACTAGGGGCTCCTGGCATCGCTACTAGGAGCATTCTTACTAGTAACAAGAAGCTACTAGGGGCGCTGGGCGTTGCGAACCCCCCGAGGCTCCTCCCTTGGTCCCTGAAGGATGGCCGAGGCCTTCATTCGGCCCAGGTGTGCCGCGCCGTTTGGGCTCCGAAGCGTTTGGGCGTAGTGGGAACATGACTTGAAGACGATGGGTGGTGATGAGAATGTAGATGCATATAGTAGGAACATGTAGGCAACTGGAATTTGAATTCTATAAATGAAACGGCTCAGGAAGCACAGTAACATTCCCAAAACTGGTTCATTGGGCACCTGGTAGCTTAGCACCTTGTGCTCCAGTTGGACTAACTGCTTGTAGCCGCCACTTGCCAGGTGGTTCACCAAGTTGCCAGCTACACTTGGCTCAATCCGGACTTTCTCTTTTTGACTCACTAAGTTGAGCACGGGACCTCGATGCTAATTACAGATGTAGAGCGTTTTTCTCGTCAGTTTTACAGACCAGTACAGACCTTCCTTGGGCTCAGAAGTGGCTTCTCTCCACTGGGAGTGCCAGGTTTTGCGCAAGCAACGTTGCTACGGGACCAATGTCTCGAGTTGGTCCGGTGACACATGCGCAGTCGGGGAGTTTCAAGCAAAACGCCGTTGGGGATCGAGGGGCCTACGCTGTTTGGCAGCTGGTCCAGCATATTCCGTCCGCGGCCGAAAGCTGGCGGTGCTCTACAGGCACCCAAAGGATGGGAAGACTTTCATGCCAGGTACGGCCGTCGGGGTACCCAGAGTGAGCTCTGGTGTCGAGTGTCGACCCGGGTGTCGCGTCGTGGACATGAGACAGAAGAAGGGGACTGGGCAAATGTAAGGCTTTTTGATTTGGACACTTCGGCGACGATTCGGTCTAAAAAAACGTGTGCAAAGGCAGTAACATTCGAAGTCGCCCAAGGTGACCGTGTGATCAAAAGGTGACCAGGTGATCAAGGTACTCAGTCCTGTACAGTTTTCCAGTGTTTTGGCATCTATTAACATTATTAACGGAGAAATCAACAGAGCCTGGATCCTGCTCCAGGATTGTTGTTTTTTGGAGAAGATTAATCTCGGACGAGTCGCTTTCTTGGCGCTGACCCACAGAGGCTGTGGACAACTGTTAAGATCCAACAAGGAGTTTTCTCACATGAGACTGAGACTGTTTTAGTTATCCTTTCGCAGTGCAAATGACCTCAGTCTACAGAGTTCTTAGTACTACATTTCAGGCTTCTGGAGCTTCTAGACATCCATTCGGCGAGTTGCTCATGACAAGATGCATGCTCTTCGAGGTTTGAATGTCAAACCCCGAAAACCTAGTAACAAGAGATAGACTTCAAGTACTTCAAATTTGATAAGGGTGAGGCATGGTGAGCGATCACGTGACCAACCACCTCCTTGTAGTGTTCCCGAGTCGTGTTCTTGTCCCGTTCTCCCCGCTGAGAAATGGAGAAGGGCGTGGAGGGCACCTTGGGCCCCCAAGCACTGAATGAGCTTCAGCCCCTTGACAAGCATCGGAGCGAGGAGGGGGTCGTGGGCTGTGACTTGGACTGTGGCGGCACTAACTAAGAAATCCATGTTTGTGAGTTGGAGTCAACTAGGAACATACATCTATAGAATGTACCACCTTGATTTCTGCAGGACGGTCAGACCTTGTGGAGAAATAATTAGCCCAATCAACAGGACGGTCAGGTCCAGTGGATTGGGCTCGTTGGAGTCGACAAGAAGAAGTCTCTGTCGAAACGTGAAGCTGAAATTAAAAACAGATTTGGGTGCCTTTAGAAGAGAGCACATCATTTATATACAGCTGGTTGTTTGAGTTTGGGTGCAAACTGGAGCTTGTTGTAGGTACGCGATATAATAAGAAACTTTAAGAAGCTTCAAAAAACGCTTTGGTGAGCTCCAATAACTATCGCGGCCGAAGTTGTCACAGGAGAGAAGGCAGAGGTTTTGCTGCTGCGTTTCTGGCGGCATTTTCTGGCTGTCCATGTTTAAGGTGATTCAAGACCTGCGATTTAACTTTCAACCTCGTTGTGTTGCAGGAGCAGAGCCAAGGAGTATGTAAACTCTGACAGCAGTGATAAATTATATAAGCTGTTTGAGCTTAAGGTTGACTTGGACGTGTGATTATTCTACCCGTGGTCTCCCGTATCTAATTATATATACACCAAGAAAGTACCGCTGACCATCCTCAAAGCTGCTATCCACTTGGACAAATTCGGACGCCCTACTTCAGGCTTTAGTGACTTGAGAGATGCTGTCCATTTGGCCAGCTGAACGAGGTGCGTTTGCTTCAAAAGGCCCTGTCAAGATATCTCCAAGCCATCTTGGTGCGCCGTGTTCTTTGCAGGTCCAACCTGGCGCGGTACGAGGGCAAGGACCACCAGGGTAGAGTAGGGGCCATGAGGATGAGTAGGGGAAGCAGGCTCACCACCTGTGAAAAGGGTCAAAATTGCCCGGGACTATTTTGGTTGTCAGGCGGTCATGGTTTAAGGCGGCGCAAGCTATGGCCTCCAAGAAGCAACTGGATCCTGTTTCTTTGTGGGGCAAGAACAAGGTTCATTGCTTGGATGATCTTCTTTAGGTTTCTAAGCTAGGTTTCTGCCCCCCTTCGAAGGCCCCGCCTTGACTGTTCGGAGTGTGGCGTCGAAGGACAACTTTCGTGTGATCCGAACCCTGTCCTGGCCAGGCTCGGCTGTGGGGTTCAACAGAATGGAACTAGATGGTGTGGGCATGGCTATGAAAATGGGTTCAGTGGGTTCCTCAAATAGATAGCACTGCACCATGCAACAACGATTTGTGAAACTACATGTTTGATCCAATTTGGGGTTCTGCAGCAGTGCCGCGGCCAAAGCTGTTTGTAGCTGTCAACGCCTACTCCCAGTCCCGCACAAAATGGTCGACCAGAGAAGCCAGCAAGCCAAGCAAGCGGATGGGTGGCAAAGTCCCACCCCTAAAACCTGTATATAACTATATAACTTAACCACCTCACCTAACCAAGAGCTTTACCAATTACCAACAAAAACATTAAAAGAAGCACGAGAAGTCAGTCGACCTTTCCTCCAAGGATCACAATCTCCGCGAAGGAGGCATCCCTTGGGCGAAATAGCTTAGATGGATGTTCATCTCCTCAAGGATGTCATTTACCTGTGGAAAACCAGCAGTCTTCTCCACAAACTTGCTGGTGGCATGCTTGATTCCTTTTGTTCGCAGCATTGTTCGCAGCATCCTTATGAATTCCCAAGGTTGGGAGGCTAAAAAGGTGTGTCCTGCAAAAACAACAATTCCTAGGTTGAGGTTTCGCAAGGTTTCCCTCTTCCAGAGTTGCTTGGCGCTTTTGCGCCTAGGCGGAGTAGATGGTGGTGGGCCCACGTCCATCATGTTGTCGGAGCACTTGGCGGTCATGGGGGCGGCATGGGTCATGAACTGCAATAGACAGACAGATGAACTCATTCTACATTAGAACATGTGCTAATTTTGCAGAAGCGTTATAGGTTGATATATACCAGATCCAATCCTAGAGGAAGCTTTCCATATTAGTCCGAGATCAAGACGTCCCCAACAGGTGCCCTCTTCGGCCTGCCGCATTGCATACTGAAGTCCACAGCCAACAGCTGCGGTTGATTGAGAACAACGCGTTTGGTGAAAAAGCATGGTCCATGATCGCCAATGAGTTCAGTCTTGGAAACAGGGAATACGCAGTTTGCCGGAAAATTGGGGTATCCAAAATATGCTTGCACTCATCTATATAATTCCATATATATATATTATTAATATATATATATATGTACAGTATATATATATATATGTATACTACTCGTACTAGATTAGATTCCAAACAATACTTGAGAAGACGGACATCGGACATCTCATCATCCAAATAGGGCGTCCAAAGCACGTCCTTCATCCGCGTCCTTCATCCGATCGCCCCGGTCCTTCGCCACGGCGCCCAGGATTGGGGTCGCAGACATGTCCACCCGCTCGCTGCGGCTCGCCACGCGTGCGGTCTACGAGGCCCACGGCGAGCGAAGGGTGGGAACGAGCAAGACACCGACCTGTAAAACAGACAGGACTGCCAATCAGTTGGGGGGGTTGTAGGATGTTGTAGGCATATATTATACATGGAGTGTATGGGTGGTAGTAGATTGACATCCTTACGATAAAGGAGAGCTTCCCAGTACGAGGTTCCCACTATGGTGACTTCTTGTATGTGTGGAAGGATTCCTTCCACATACCGTATACCCACCAAATTCATTTTTGGGGGTGACAGATTACACAGCTCTTGGAAACATTCAATACACATTGAAGTTGTTAGCAAAGTAATGGTGACATATCATGACATATCGTGACCCTCAGGGAAGCATCCAGGAGTGGTACAGTACCCTGTGTTTTCAGGACCTTCTCTTTGGGCTTGTTTCTGATCAGTTGAGGGGAAAGCTTTTAGTAAAATCTGCCAGGCCTGCCCCAGCAACCATTTGAGTCAGATATGTCGATAAAGCTATCCTAGACCGCCGATCTCAGAGATCATCTCAGTGCTTCAGTGCTTCAGTAGATGTCATTAGTCATTTCTTCAATGACAGTACCTGGCAGCCACGTCCGGAGTTGGGTGGCCAGATTGCGCAGCAAAGCTTTACTTTTGCCTGTTCCTAGAAAAATGGGGTCGCCGATGATGGGTGACCTTGCTCATACACAATGGAAGAGCACGCGCGAATCAACAAGTTTGTGTGGGGTCAGGGTCAGGGTAGTCATTTCTTCAATGCCAGTACGTGGCAGCCACGTCCGGAGTTGGGTCCCTAAAACTTCATCGCACAGTTACCCAAGTGCCTAGCTCACTCCCAGTTTTCTGCCGACAGAACCGCCCCAGGTAGAGCCCTCCGCCCTGATGCTGGAACTATGCCGCGAACGTGTTAGGGACACCCAGAAGACATGGCGACCGTGAATAAACCACAGATTCTCAGCAGTGAGATGCAGCTGGACATGGCGAGTCAAGTTGGCAGATGTTCCTCACATGCAGAGGTGGTAGTATACCCTGCTGCGATGATTGTTTATGTATGGATAGTATGGGGAGGCACTCAGGAGCCCTACAAGTCAACGCTTCCTGGGACTGATGGCTTGATCGATGTCGCTTGAGGATGGTTCGTAGTGCCAGTATGTGCCAGTGGTCTGTATTGGTTTTATTTGGCCCATACCATGCATCAAGTTACCACAGACTCTAAATCCCACGATACGTCCGGATGCAGCAGCTATTTCCGTCCGGCCAGATCGGCAAGCAGTTGGTGATGCAGGGAACCCAGACCGCTGCCGGGTGTGCTGTGTGATCCTAGACCACAGCCTTTGATGCATTAATGGAAGAGTAACTCTGAATTCATCCGAAGGGCACCGGCAAGGAACACCCACAGGTCGGACCTTGCGCTTCTTTTTTCCTATCCTCGAAACAGGGACAAGACCTTCCCTGCTTCATGACTCCTATGTTTGCTTCTCATCCTCTCTATTCTACCTGTGCTCCCTGCTAAGACATTCTGTGTTTGAAGACATGGACTCATAGACCCTCAAGTCTCGGAAAGAAAGACCTGACGAACATGTCAATCGGATCAATCAATGTTTCGAGTGATTCACTGTGTATGTGTTGTTGTTGTTTTTAATGTTTTTTGCATGTCCAACTTGCAACTTGAGGCCGCGCGAGCATAAGGAGGCTGTGGCCAACTATGCGCGTGGCTTCGCCACCAGTCCCCCAGCCATGGTTGCTTAACTAAGCTCTGAAAGGTCGGGTTTAGGAAGTGACACTGAAACCTTCCAATGTGCGCTGCATGCATATATATTGGAGGGTTGTTTCTAGTTTCTACTGTATCTATTTGGGAGCAGTGTATAGCAAGTTGAAGCTGCTGGCCGCTGGCCATTGGTTCTTTGTCCAATGTACCAAGGTCTGCATGGAGGGGATCTCAACATTTGACAAACCACGGCATTCAAGGTCTTGTTTGAAGACTGATGAGCCATCCACCAGGAGAACTTCTGCAGTAGGGGGTCTTTCAGCGTCAGGCACCATGCCACATTGGCTGCTACATGTCATCAGCACATTGATCATGATGACATGATGTCAATATGCATGGTCAAGTATGAGTTCAGACCATTAACAGAACCAAACAGAGGTGTTTACTCCACTTGTATTGTTTCTGTCACCGATATACATTCACCACCATTCTCCCAAATCCAATGCACATCTACGGTCCACCACCCTTCCTTAACAGTAGATCCTATGCAGATCTATGCAGCATGAAGATGATCGAGCTTTCGCAGGTCATAGTGCCTGTAGGTAGTCTATAGCCTGTTTTCCCGCAAGAAGCGGCTGCTTGAATCAAATCTCAAAGACTATGTTGATACTACAACTCTTCTAGATGAGAGTTGCCAGTACTTTTGAGTGTTGTTTGATTAAGCCTCGGTGTGTTTGTCCAAGGTAGTTTGGTTGGTGTGTTTTGTGTTGCCATACAGTAGTGTGAAGATGCGTGAAGTGCTTTGTGCTTCCCCTCACCGACCGCTGGGTGTATGATCATCCACAACATGTTTGGTGACCTGGTGTGACGAAGCTGTGAACCGAGTCTGAACTTGCCAAGTGCTGAAGTAGCAAAGGTGCAGTAGTAGTAGTAGTAGTAGTCGTAGTCGTAGTCGTAGTCGTAGTCAGTAGTAGTAGCAGTAGCAGCAGTAGTAGCAGTAGCTTTGGGGCCCTCTTTTTAAAGCTGAACCTATTATATGTATATATTATAGGACTAGTTATTGGGCAATAGCATACATTAGATCATTAGATGAGTTTTCACGCATCATGCTATAGAAATCAATGTTGTCGAACTGCTCTGTTGAACATCGTCGTTCCCGTCGTGAAAACGGTCTGATCGGCCGGTTTTTCGCGCGCCTCTCCGCTCGCTCGGCCAGCCAATCCTCATCGGCACAGCCTCTGGCTGCATCATTTGGACACCATCCAAGGAGATGCTGAGGTGCCGAGGCCGCATGGTTCGATAAGACATGGTAAAACTGTGGTGCTGCATGCATGCCGAGGCCGCATGTTGCTCTTCAAAATCTGAATGCATATTGGATTGGTTGACCCCAACTTCACTGAAGGCTAGCAGCCACTACCCCCGTGGTTGCCGTGGTTCTATTGAAATTGAGATCCACAAGGAGAGAGGAATGTCGGAATGGAATGACTACCTGGAACAATGGAAGAGGTCAGAAGACTATCGATGCCTTTGTTGGGGGCACCGTGGCCCCTGCGCTTTGTTTGTGCAGCTACACGTAAATCTCGCACGCTGGCACATGCCGTACTTGCTGAGAAGACTTGAACATGCCGGAGGTCTTACAGTACATTTCATTGATCGTGCATGTTCGTCTATTTTGGCCCACCCAGACAGACGCTCATGGGCCCTCATACGGAAACATCAGACCCTCGTATGGAGGGGTTTGGCGTCTCAAATCCATAGGTCGACCACTCGGGCTGTTGGTCTATTTTGCCCCAGGCTGGGAACTTCTTCGTTCAAATGCCCCAGCATCGCCCCATGCATTGCATTGCCCTGCATCGCCCCCACCCCGATGCAGCCATCGCCGAGGCGTTGAATCAGTGGACTCGTGGCCAGCCCTATGGCGAGGCGCTGGCAGACTTCGTCCGGAGCACCTGGTTCCACCGATGGGACCCGGTGGGTGAGCGGAACCTCAGGACCGCACGCGGTCGCCGAGGCGGCCGGGACGCCGTCCGGTGACGGCGGAACGTTGCCTTCGTCTCGGACCGGACGAAGGGTTTGGAATCCCAGAGGAATTTGAGTGAAACATGTCATGATATATGTGGTTGCATCTCCTGGAAGAAGACATGGTAGATTGACACGATGTTTCCCTGAGCTTTCTGGGTCTCGTACCAGATTCCAGTTTCTCCGAGTGTATCTACCAGGTGGAAACAGTACTCAGGATCGGTGCGGGTAAGTCCCTCTTAGTGTTCCTGCCACTGCCAGAGTGATGACTACTGCAAGTCCAGCTCGGAGTCCAGAGAGTTTGTGCTCTTGCTGCTAGCGCTGCCCCCAGCCAAGTTCCACGACTTGTGGCAAAGAACCATCCACGACATGTTCACTGCGCGTTGCCTTTGGCGACTTGGCGACTTCCAAGGCCTCTCAGAGCCCGGGGAAGATCCCACGACTGCTGTGCAGCTTGGCGGGATGACCAGGAATATCCTACAAATAGGCATGTGGTGTCCAACAACCAGGAGCACAGTTTCGGATGCAGCTGACCCAAAACTACCCATGTAACTGACCCAAAACGACGGCAAATTCTCACAACCACAACAGATCATGGAGGGTAGATGACAGGACCTGTGGTGAAGCTGCTCCACACTGTTCATGTTTCCACACATGTGCTGCTCCAGCACAGTTTCACTGCCGATTCCAAGTGACCACGTGCCTTGAACACCCTGCGGAGAAGTTTGGACTATGCGAAGGCATGGCTCTACTTTCAAGTTGACTTTGACCGCAAAGTCGCGGGCCAGGACCACTTTTCTCACACCTTAAAGTCATTTAAGTACAGTTTATAAAAGCATGCAGAGCAACAGCTTTCATGTATGGCATTAACGTAAAGTCTAGTGGTACAGTCTCTCGTTATTGGACCTTTATTTGTCTTTCATGTCAATGTAGCCTTGCCTTCGCGGCCTTCTCAGATCAAAGCTTTCCCTTCCCTGTCCATTTGCAAGATATGCCGAGAGCCAGAAAAGATGTTCATGTAAGACTCTAAAGAGTCAGGGACCCTCCAAAGGGCACTTTGAAGACCTCTCCCAAATTCATAGAGGCATCAATCTGCACAACCCATCCACTTCCATGGAATTTTCTTGTCCACTTCCCAACCTATCCAGGTGTGAGCGAACCCCATAGGTCATGTTGCATCGTTCCTCCTATTTCCTCCTGACCCAGGCCTGGGAGATGTCCGAAGCTCCACCATGGAGCGACTGGAGAAGAAGTACCGAAACGAGTCCACCACCACGGAGCGGTCGGCGAGCAAACCGGCCGGTCGGTGGTACGTCTAAGTCGGTGGAACAGAGATCCACTGAACTCAACCCACCTCAATGTCTAGTATGAAATGAAGGTCTGGGAACGTCTGGGAATCTCAAAACCTCTACACCACACTGATTGTGAAATCATGTGGATGTCCGACGGGCCTCAAAAGGGAGGATGACCATGAAATCAATCCGAGATGGCCCGAGAGCTGGCTTGCTCCGGCACCGTTTCGGCGGCTGGTCATCTTTTTGGCATGACGCCGGGTATTTCAGACGCAGCGGATGACATGAGTTTTCCTCTACAAACAGCGTCTAGTCTAGGGCTCCACTCCCGATAACTTGCGAGTGACTCGAAGTGGAGCGTTGAACGCTCCACTCCCGATGGGTTGAGACTGGACAGCTTGCGAATGTGGTGGTTCGGCTTGCGAAAGGTAGGGCAGCTCGGCGGGTGGTGTTGTGGAAATTCTGTTGTGACAGATTGACAGGACTCCACCCGGTCCTCACGTGCCCGACAGATGGCGTGTCTTGGGTGGAAATGTGGTGTTCAGCGGACCCTGGGATTCCTGGCCATTGACCCATTGATTTTATCGCCTGAATCCTTGAAGAACTATGGTTTACATTGTCTTATAAAGAGTGTTAGACTAACAAAAGTAGGTCGACCATGATTTGAAATGGTCCAACGAAAGGCTGAGGGGGGTAGCAGACAGGTGGGAGTGGTGATGGACCTTTTCAGACCCCTCAGACGCTATCTCTAGCTGCTATAGCTACTAACGTTTGTTTACGTGCTTGTTTCGTTCAAGAAATGGGCGCGTTGCAGACCTGGAAAGCAAAGTTGGCTGGAACCTGTAAGACCATCCAAAATCATCCTTCCTACCACGATCTTTAAAGCCAGATAGCTTCCGAGTATTCCGTGTTTGGCTTCCATGCTCCTGTTTGGTGAGTTGTTGTGACGCGAGTACTGTACCAAGTGCAAACCAAATCATCATTGTTGCTTGATAGTTTGGAGTGCAACTATACACAGGAAGATTGGGTTCAGATTGTTGCAGTGGGAGTGTAATCGAATACAGATTGGGGAATAGTACAAGCTCCTTCTCAGGTGAGCCCTTTCCTCCAACTGATTGAATCTGTATGTTTGACCTGGAGACCATGTTCAGTGTATCACCCATGCCTTCATGCTTTTTGAAGAGGAGTATATAGAGGAAATCCAAAGGACATCCTACACCAAGTCAATCCGCGAAAAGCGGTTCAGCCGCACGAGCGCATACGCATATGCGCCGTCATGCTGATCCCGCGGCTCCCAGAACTCCGGGCCACGAATCGACCCCAAAGGCCTGCAGAAAATGACTACAATGATAGAAGTAATGACCTGCTTTTCTATAGCCAACAGAGGTTCAGTGACCTGAACTACCCGTCACCTAGGGGGTACCTATCGGATAGTCTATATATAGGGTCCTTCAACCTCTGGAGGAACCCGCCGGTTCGCTGGTTCGATCCGGAGAGACCCGCGACACGTGCCGTGTTTGCTTGACCGTTTGCTGCAGTGTTGGCTTGCTTCAAGGAAGCCCGAGGATGAGATGGTTTAGATGGGGAAGAGCGCACTGAGTGGGAAGGAACATGAAAGAACCCAAGACATTGACACACAGCAATGCATTCCAAGCAAGTAGATGTCGATCATGTCGGCTCACGATGCTTTCATGAAGCCTTGTTGGAAAGTTAAATTTCACTTGGACTCACGTGTTTGGCCATCGTGGCTTGGAACTTTTTGTGTAACATGCATGAGCAAACTTTCATACTATTGGTTGCATGCCCTTCAAAGGGATTCTTGTTCCTTTGACTAATACTTGAGAAGATTGTTGAGACTGACTGGTACTAATTGGTGTTTATTCACGTGATTGCCCTTTGCAAGGCTCGCCATGCCGCATGCGAGTCTTTTGCCCAGCCCGGGTCTTGCTGGCCTTCCTGGGCTTGCTTTCCTTGGTGATCTATGTGCTTCCCACGTCCACTTGGTCCCTCCTCCAGAGCGAGCAGCCACCGTGGAACCACGGTCGTGAGGTCCACGGTCGGGCGAAGCCCTGGAAGTTTTTCACCGCATCTCGACACGCCCAGGCCAGGAATTCGACGAATCCTGTCCGCCGCATCTCGAAGCCTGGAGGTCCAAACCAATCAAAGCCACAGATCCAACAGACCCGGACAAAACAAGAGCCGCGTGAGCCATCGTTGGACGTGCCCGGCCCATCCACGTCTCACTCCAGCAAAACGTCTCCCAACGCAGATCACAAAGTGATGCTACATGACTTTCAGAAGCAGGACCAGTCCCACCTTTCGTCCAAAGGCAAATCATATATCAACAGATGGAGTTCGACCTCTAAAGAGCCGGAAGCTTCTGGCAGTTCATACTGGAGCTCACTCTCATCACTTGGAAAATGGCTTCTGGCACAGCCGACACCCAAGCCGACACGGACGTTCAAGCCATCAAGGCCCAGATTCATCGAAGATCCCAATGAGACAGAGCCATGTGTTGGGCCCATGCTGCCTCCCCTTTTGCCCAAGTCGGATGCGTATCGCATGAAGTTGGAGATCATCAATGTCACTCGTTCCTGGGGGTACTTTGAAGCTTGGACATCTTCGGACTAAGCATCTATCGATTTGACCAAAGGTACGTAGAGCGTTGACTTTCTTTGACACTGCCGAAAGGTTGCCCAACACATATTATGTCCACCCAAAAGCTGTGTTTTCACATGATCCAACAAAAAACGCCAAAGGCACACCAACACTCGAAAGGCACACCAAATGTCCTCAGTCCAGGACTCCGCGCTCAAGCCCAGGACTCCGCGGCCGAGCAATACCGCCCCTTCAAGGACATGGATTTGCTGGACATTGGCATGGGCCAAGGGCCGATGGGCGTCGTAGCCACTGAGTTGCAGACGTAGGGGCGTAAATTATATACTGTATATTTCACAAAAATCCAATGCATGTCTCCCTTTTCTCGCAGTGCGGGCTTTTATGGGCTTTTCTCAGCGTTTTTTACTCGAGTGCTTCGAACGTATAGCAAATGTTAGGAAGAAAAAACATGTTGTTCCACTTTGTTCCTGTTTTTAAGGGTATAGGTCCAGGTTACCCGTTTAGAATCTACATGAATCTACAGTGCTTCAGGCTTCCATCGATACTTTCCAAACACATCGTGTCATGTGTGGCCCTGGTTGGGGCCCACAACTGGGGTATGAGCATACCAGGGGCCACCCGCACCGTGCATTGAATGCATCTTTGATCATTTTGGATTGGGTGATTGGTTCAGCCATCAAGAGTTCTTATATAACAGTGTGCAGCTAGGTGTGGAGGCTTCTCTCCAATCTTGCTCTATGAAAAAAGCATGATCCGTACAGAATAGGTGTGGAGGTGTGGGATTTTTTGGCGATCTTTGGCGATGCCATTTGTGCCGGAAATTCCCGGATCAAGTGACTGCACTTGATGTCTTTTGGAGATGTTGGGCTCTTTCGGGTTTTGGCAACCCAGCTACCTTCCAGGCGAAGGAGGGTTTTACATGGTTTTACTATGTCGAGGGCTTCCCTTCAGCAGTATCGATGTGGGGTTACTTTGCTTCGCTCAGCAGAGTCAGAAAGCATACCCGACGTCGACGAGAGCACGAGACGGAGAACCGACGTGTGAATTGACGTGTTTTCTTCAGTTTTCCTATATATATATATATATGACTGCCTTGTTCCTATTTTCAGGAAACGTTTCTTTTCTTAGGTCTTTGTCACCGTACCATATATAATTACCTTGCATGTGTGGTGGAAGCCATTGCTGTTTGTCTCCGCGGGGGCACATATTCGTGAGTGGAAATTAATGTTCAACCAACCCAGCTTCCCGGCTTTGGGATTCCGATTTCTTCTCAATCAGGGTGGGTCCAGTCGGAAAGGAGAGGAGTCTGGATATCGATCGGCCATGGTTTGGAAGTCAGCTGTTGGTCCAGTCAGTTTTGCACATCCTTCTACCTACTTCCCAGCAGAAGAAACCTTGGATGCTGTTGGGTCAAGAAAGTGTGTCCAGAAAGAACACGGCACACCCATTTATAATAAAGACACGACGTCCTTTCAACTTCCACCGCCTGGCTACACATAGAATATCATCGAGATTATATGAGATTATATATAAGACAGATAAATTTACATACTACATACAAACTAACTTCCAACACCTCACCTCCTGTCTTAAGAAGGGAGATTCATCTCTCTCTTTCTGTCACAAGAACTCCACCCGCCTTAGGCGATCGAACTTGGCATCCGTTCCTACAAGGGCATGGATCCGGCGCTGTGCCTCAATCGCCACGCACGGACGCGGGACAAGACGATTGCCCGTGCCCCTGGGAAGAAGGCGTGCAATCTGATTGCCAAGTCCACTGACTGTGACTGGGATCACGAGAATCAAAGTGATTCGGCAAGCTCGCTCGAAGCCGAAGGATGTTCTGTTCGGAGGATGTCGTTTTTACATGGTGAGGATTCCTGCCGTTGCTCGACGATGTTTGTTTCCGTAAACTCGGCTCAGGTAAGAACCACACAGGCTTTGCCTGCCCTGCGTTCCGAGCTTGCATGAAGCGAGCCAGGGAGAAGTACCGCTACTTCCCTTACACGGGTTTGGAGATGATGCAAGCCTATGCAGGCAGAGCTTGGCCGTTGGTTTTGAAGTCCGCACAGTGAAGTCAGGTTTCACTTGGCATACACGAATGCATTGACTGCTAGTCAAGCTGATGCCTGAAAAGTAACGCTTGCAAGAGAACACCAAGAACCCAAAACTCCTTTGGTCCTATAAGTCAAATCATGGGGCCGTGAGCAAACCTACTTGTGACCTGAATTGTTCGGGTCGCGGATTGTTTGTGTCCTTTGAGAAGGGCCTCACCATGATGACACGACGAAGGACCTTCCCCATTTGGGACACCTGGAAAACCCCTGGAAGTCCGATCGATTGTTCTAGACTTGTTTCGAAGCGATCCTAAACGATGTGTGGCAGCAAAATACAACCACACATCGTTTCAACTGCTATTCATCATCTAGCTATTCATCATCTAGTGGTCCTATTCAACACAAGTCACCAGTTTCATCAAGCTTCTTGGGCCGGTTCGCTTCATCGCAAGCCACAATGCCACAAGTGATCTCGAGCCATCGTCGTAAGCCCAGCTATAGACGACCGCTACTAGCAATGGCCTCCAACCTGCGTGCATTTGCCTTGGTAGTATCGAAGCAGTCAAAGTATCGATAAAATATGATAAACCCTCGGCTGGGACTGCGGTGATGCGACAGGTTCAACAGACTCAAACGAGTCCAGCTCCACCGTAGAATGCCAACACAAAGCCCAACCAACACTCACTTTGGAAACCAGCTTTCCTCAGAGTCATTACTGTAAGACCTGTTCACTTGGTACTTTCCCCTCGCTGTGCCAGGAGAAATTGTCTTGCTACCGGGGACCTTTGCTACCCTGCAGCCGACTGGGTTGATTCAACGGGGAAGTTTCCAGGCCGGGAAGGCTCGCTATGAGGTTGGAGGCCATCGGCTAGTAGGTTGGAGGCCATCGCTACTAGGCTGAGTTGAGCAAGCCACGAACATCGATCCTGGGCGTCTCCTTCATCCGAGGAGCTGGAGCTTCCGGTGTTGAGCCGCGAGAAGGGTCAAAACCACCCAGAGCTCCAAAGAAGGTTAGGTTGACCTCCCCTGGTAGTCTATTCTGTTCTTCCTCTCGCGCCAGAACGCACTGGCAGGCACAGGTGTCTTTCTGCCATCTGTCCAAACTTGAAGTGGGAACCACAAAGGTAGTCTATTCTGTTCATTTTGGGTGGCATGCGCGCGCCGAGAGAAGGGTTGGCGTTTAGTGTTGGAGTCCAACACCGCCGACCCTTCAGCGAGCGAGGGTAGGAAGTGCATGGAAGTACCGAGATACCAGATGTGTGCAGAGGTTGTTCCAAGTGTTTGGGTGAAGGAAGGGTCTAATTTGCACCTTGAGATTCAATGTATTATTATGGATACTTGTTGGTTTGAGGGCATAGTTTATCGATTTACAGTTTGTGCACTTATGGATATACATCAACTGTTGTTTGTTTACAGTTTGTAGTATGACTTCTGTGTGGAGCGAACGCCATGCTTTCACGCCACACATACCCCGTCCAAGACGACGGGAGCGATTCTTCAGACGTGATTCGATTGAGGTGGCCACGCTGTGGCTGGTGACAGAGCATCTTCCCAACAACCAAGATGTCATCGAGGGGGTCTTTGAATGGACAGAGCCTGGTCAGCTCTTGGTTTCACGGACCAGTCCAGCCCTTTTGGGGTCGTTTTGGGTAGGGGCGATGTGACTTGGGTCCCTGAAACGTACACACAAACACGCAAGTCCAGGACATCATGATCCAACCTAAGAGCCATGGCCTCCAACCTGAGAGGGATGGCCTCCAACCTAAGAGCGATGGCCTCCAACAGGCCTCTCAGTGGTTCTTGTTCGAGCTCGAATAAAACACGTTCGCACATAATCCTGTCCTTGGGCGTACGTCAACACACGAGCGATTTCGGTTCCACAACCGCCAGTCCACGCGATGACCAATTGAGCGGTCGCGAAATAATTAGAAAATAGATTGGCTGAAATCCGGAAACACCATTTCCTTCGAAAAATAGAATAGAAAATAAAGAAACAGCTGATACAGGCGATAGTATTCGATAGTGACAATTTTTCAATGTTCAGATAGTTATTCACCCTCCCTTCATTGAAAAAGAAAACAAAATAATCAGAAGATTAAGATATAAATCGCTATGGATCGATCCATACCTTCTCAGAAGGTGCTTGTACCCTCCTGGCGCCTACATAAATAGTCTCCAAATACCTGAGGAGGTGCGACTGAGTCCAGGTGCCCCACGTTCGCCCCCACGTTCGGCCTGTGGATCACTGGCCTGAAACAGGAACAACAGAGCCCCCAGAAACAGCTGAGCAGAACAGAGACAAGTCAGCAGGCCATGTTCGGATCTTTTTGCGGTATGGCCCGGTATGTCTTCTTCAAGAAAAAGAATACTATTGGGAGGGGAACTACTGGGCTATTATCCTAGCTCTAGTTTAACCAATTATAATTGAACATCATTAAAAGATCCAGGGTTCCACAGCTTTTGATCCTACCTCCATTGGTGGATGGAGACCGCGTGTGGTCCTACCTCCTAGGTTTTGACCCACCACAACTACTACGGCTTCGACGGGCATCACGAGATGCCGGTGGATCCCAAAGCTTTCCAGCGGGGCAACCGGGCACAAGCGGAAGTGGCCTTCTGGAGACATTTGGAGCCCAGCAGTTGGGTCTTTAACGTCACCAGCCTCAACCGCCCCTTGGGAGGAATGGCACTTGGATGGACTGAAGCAGAGGAGTCTGAGAGGAGAGAGGAGTCTGAGAGGAGCGGCCCCTCCGGTTACAGGTGCGAGAAGTAGGTGAAGGGAGCATGTTCGTTAGTAGGTGAAGGGAACACAAAAACAAGTCCTGTACATCTATACAGAGTGCTTTTAATGTTTGTGAATGAAAATTGAAGAAGTGCCCCTCTATAGACTCGTCTTTGTCTTGGTTTATGGATCCCCCAGTGCATGTTCACATCGACTAGACTGTGGAGTTATCTATGGTGGACATGTTCAACACACACACGCCGGCTGAAGCGACCGCAAGTGGTGATAGACGAAACATGGTCCCTGGGTGTCCCAAACGTATCAGCAAAAAGGATGTCCACTGCAGGTGGGGATCAAACATCAAAAGCATGTTGGGCCCTTTGGGACCCTCTTCGCTCTTTCAGTTCGGCCAAGCAGCACTGGTGTTGATACCTGTTGTGCAAAGGTGTTGATTCGCCTCACCCCGGTCTCCAATGTTCGAGGCACCGGGAGGATGTGGTCAGACTGCCATGAGATGATATAGCCGCCCCACAAAAGACATGAAGCAAGAAAGCACACCACAAAGACTGACTGGTGCGACGAAAGCAGGGAATGAGGGTGGCTGGATCCAATAGAATCTCGGGAGCGAGCTCCTTCCCTGACTTCCCTGCTTTCGTCGCACCAGTCAGAAGAGTGTTTTCGCTTACAATGTGTTCGCCTCACACTTGGTGATCCGTCGGAGCCAACACCCCACGTCCGTCTCAGGTGTCCGCCTGGGAGACCTGATTGGCCTTTTGAACGTCTACTTCGAGTGCGCCTGGCTGGCCAACTTTGGAAATCACTGGGACGAGGCGTTGGAAAATGAGACCTTCAGCTCTTTGGAGAGACTTGACATTGACATGACCAACACTGTGGTTATGACCGGCCCAAAATAACCGAAAATAGCCAACATTTCAGATATTCGGGTATTTGGGGGGCTTGTTGCTCATTGTGCGGACCATTCGTTGGGAGTCTTAGGGGTTCATATCTTTGGAACTTGGTGTCCTTAACCACAGTGTATGTCCCAGAAGTCCAAAGACTCTATTAGTACCCACTGAAGCAAAGGAAGTTCCTTTTCGGGTCACCTAAAGACCATTCTTTTGGTCCAGTATGGTCCAGTGAACAAAGCGTATAACTAGACTAAATGACTTAAACCAAAATGGTATTATATACGGTATAATGCTCAGCAGGGAGTCTTTGGTCTTTGACTTTCAGGGTATGTCCTTAGTCAGACCTGAGGCAGAGGGGCTTCTCACGCACCGAGTTGCTGGTGAGCACCTGGTCGGCTGCATGTGCACGACGGGAGGCACCCCGAGAGGCTTTGTGGTTGAAATCCAGCCACTTGGCCGCCAAAAGGGGTTGCGGATTCGGCCAAGCTGGCCAAGCTGATCGGAGTAGGAAGCAATCTAGGTGACCAAGGGGATGAGTCTCCACCGAGGGATATTTGTTTTGCTCGAGAGGGTGGAGTGGTGTGGGAAACCCAAACAGAAAATCGATATGATTCAATGGCAGCATTTGGGCACTCTTTTTTGTCCCCCCAAAGATGTCAACCTCGGCCTGAGGCGTGTCTTTCCGTCTTGTTCCTTCCATGTTTGCGTCACTCCCAGCCGCGTTACTCAAGGAGTGTGGCACCACCCAGCCACGGATGGCTCCTATGAGCCCCGGACGTTGCCCAAAAAGATGCTCTTCAACCGCACCGAGAACCGGCTGCGGCGGATGCACGTGCCCAAGAGCCAGCTGCGCCTGCGGCAGTACCTGCCTGGTTGACAGTTTGGAGGCTTGAAAACAGGCCAGTAGCATTCAGTAGTTAGATGTAGTTAGGTAATGTTAGGTATAGATGAGATGTAGGATTCGATGTAGGTAGCAATGCTACCAGAAGTTTGATAGAAGTTGGACTGCCATAAAGAGAGGAAGATCATCATCATCATCATGATCATCACAAGGTCTTTTCTCAGTAGGAGGATCGCCAGACTCGCCAAAAGCGAAAAACACATTGAACTTGGGAAATGTTGGTTTGTCGGTGGCATATGTTAAAAGGCAAGGCTTAACAAGGATGAACATCTACTCTAGACCACATCTCTGACATGGGAATCATTGATGGGAGATCTTGTTCACTTTGGAGACCACATCTGACTGGTGCGACGAAAGCAGGGAATGAGGGTGGCTGGATCCAATAGAATCTCTATTGGGGGCGAACAACTTCCCTGACTTCCCTGCTTTCGTCGCACCAGTCAGTCTTTGACTGTTCACAAATCCATCTGTGTTCCATCTGCCACGACCAACCGGACCGGTGCCACAACGGTCGACCGGACCTCGCCGTGTCGGGACACGCCTCCAAGGCGCGGATTGATCTCTATGGCTTCCACGGGGCACAAGGCGCAGAGAGACAAAGTCTCATTCAGAGCTGAGGAAATAGAAACAAGCATACAATAGCGTGTATATATAATATCCAGTATGTTTATATAAGCATATATTGACCCCCCAAAACATAAGTCATATATAAGTAATATATAAGCATAATGAACAAAATATGGGCATAATGCGCATAATGTAAACTATTGATTAATAAATCCCCCATATGAAGAGGTGTTTCAACTGACATGGGATTGGTTTCTTAATCAAGAGTCTACACTAGCCCCACCAAAATTTGCATTTGATGTCCAATTAGTGCATACATACTCTTCGATTCCTTGGCGCTCTCTTTTCAGGCGGTTTTAGATATGTTTAACATCGAGCTTCTGAGATTCGTCGTCTTGACTCTGCTGAGCAGGTTCTCGTAACACACACGTATATATATACAACAACAACAACAACAACAACAACAACAACAACAACAACAGGTCCTCGTGAGGCCTTGGAGTCCTCGTAAGTCCTTGGAGTCCTCGTTTGTCTCGGTTCTCCCTTTCAGTGGCTCGTGCAGACATTGAGGGGGGGTTGGGTTTTGTGGGCCGGGCGGTTTGAAAGCGATGCGTAGACGATTTCATGATGGAACCCATGAAAAATCCTTGTATTGCTCATGGAACATGAAAAACATACAAAAACAATGGTGTCTAGGGATTGATGCAGATTCCGCATGGACCTCAGGATGATTATAGATAGATGCCGAAGCGTTTTTTCCTTTTGGGATATTATATATATATATACATATACCTCTTCTCATCTCCATTTGGAGAATGCGTATCTTCGACCCTAGAGGTGCAGTCAGACAGACATACAACTGAATTACGACAGACATGTTGAATGAACTGAATCAACCAATGTACCAAGTCAGACCCGACGTGTTGGCCGCCTGGTTGCCAACTCCAGGTGGTCCTGGGCCTTTTGGATACCGACCACTTGGGACCTGCGCCTGGGCCGACCTGAAGGGCCGAGACGCAGCGGTTGGGAGACCGGTTGGGAGACCGAAGGATTCAAGCAGACCCCTCTTTGACAGTTCACTCAAGGTTCCCCCGAACTTGGAAACCTTCTGATAGATCATGAAAAATATGTTCTTTATCATACCCATCATGATATGTGAGGTAAAGCATGATCTCGGTACCGGAGTCGCGAAGCACAAAAGGAATACTGGAAGACTACTTGGGAAAGGTTGGAAGTTCAGCAACCAAAAATCCCAGGAAAGCTGGGCGACCCCGTCGCAGTGCTCAGACTTCTCACAAGCTTTTCCCATAGTTTCAGGGAGAGATTCCCCTGGCAAAAGCTGTGAGATCCGTGGAATCTAATATATATATATATATATATGAATCTATCATCTAGAAGAATCATGAAGAATCAATGGTTTAATCCATGTTGATCCATATGAAGTCGTCCTTCCAACACCTAAGAGCCAACATGAAAACCAGGTCTGGCGCATCACCGTGTTGCTTCGGAACCGGCGAGGTAGCCAGCCGGGTCAACCGACTCTCACGGCGAAGGTGAGCGCTTGGCTGGAACGTGCTGGAGCGAAAGTCATGGCAGTACCGACACCCAGCGGAGAACCTGTGGCGGGTGGGGTTCAGGTGGAGCTTCCAAGCCATGCAGAAAAAAACAAAACTCAAAAAGGTCCGGTCGTTCGTGCGGGAACATTTCCTGACATGTTGACACCAAGGGGGCTGAAACTGGTTCCAAAGGCTGAGGCACATTGGAAAGACTGGACGGAGGGATGTTTTCTTTTCTTTATGCACGTTGTTCTTTTGGCCCTTCGGACCAAAATGCTGCACCGACTGGCCCAAGTTCGGCCCATGCTCAGCATGCCGAGTCTGTGGGAATGGCGGTCTCCCCGGTTTCATCAGGTCTCCGAACAGCTTGGGGGGGCCGCAGGGGAGCCATTTCGGATTAGAGAGCCATTTCCGTTGAAGGCATCCGAAGAATCAGGAAGTTGCGTGGCTTTGTATGGTTTTGTAGGTGTCCGACCCCAAAAACGTGGGACACGTAGTCCATGCGAGTTTGAGAAACTAAGTGTGGTGAAGTGCCACAGGATCCAATAGGAGCTTCTTCTCACCTGCATGATGAGACAAATCAATTCCAGAGTCGATTCCAGATGCCATGACCACGGAAGAGTTTTTGCAGCTTTTGCAGATAGCCCATCAAGTTGAATTCCAATACTTTCTGTTGTGAAGAGGCATGTAATATGTGGACAACGATGCACTTTAGCGTTTGGACTATGGGAATGTCCTAGTCTAGGACACTTCTACCTTCCATTCACTCTACCTGCAATGCATGAGCATCCAAAAACTCACGCAGCAACCACAACCTCATCACAACACACCCAAAAAACCAAATAAGCTACGTATCATTGTATTTTGTTTGCAGATGTGTTGCATTTCCGAGCCACTGCAAGAGGTGGCGGATGCCTCTGACATCGAAAGCAATCGAGAGAGTGGGCTGCTAAGCTATGAGAGCAGGAGGATGCAGGTCTCTCCAGATATTGAGAAGGATATGGAATGGTCATAAGTGGAACTGGAGTCTCTTTATTTTAGAAGTCAAGATGCGTTACGATGTGTTGCTGCGGAAAGTTGGCATTCGGAGGTCCCCCTACATTCTACATCGTGAGAGCAGGAGTGGCACCTATGATTGAGCAGGAACAAAAACGGTCCCCTCCTTCCACGTGCTCACCAACGGTTTGTGTGCGCGTTCACCGCCTGGTCAGGACTTCAGTGCTTCTCCTCCACCGTGCAACAATGTTTGATCAAAGTAAGGAGGATTGCAGAGCTCTCCTGTAAGTATATAAATCATAAATCCAGTAATCACTCTTCCTCGCTTTGCTTGAAAGAAGGGCCTCCACCTCCCCAGCCATCAGACCGATCACATGTCATCCACTTTTCCAGTCACATGGATCACAGATTTTTTTGGGGAAGACCGGAGAATACTGGAACACTGGAAGACCGGAAACCTGACTGTTCCATGCGGAAGATCCGCTTGGTAACACGGATGCCGTACCGCCGACGACCAGGCCTGGCCGCTGATATCAAGCTGGGCTTGGCCAGCGGGAAGGCGGGTCACCGCGGGGAAGGCGGCGGGTCACACCAACGTGGCTGGCACTGATATAGAATGCTTTTGGACACATGCGACCACATTGTGTGCTTACTACATCAAGTGGTATAGATGAATGTTGGCTTGTGCGAGAATTTTGCCGTTCACGTATGTCCACGTTTATCAGTGGTTGACTACCAGCTGCGATTCACTTGTGCAATATCTATTATACAGAGTATATGACTATACAATGACTTTTAATAAGTTCCATTCGGGGGAATGGCCAGGACACCTTGAGGTGTCTCCAAAGGAGTAACCACCCAAACCTGCGATGACCAACTTAGAAAGAGCGGTCCTGAAATTCAGGAGTCTGGCTAAAACGTGCAAAAGTCTCTCCGGAACAGCCATAACTTTGTGTCATTTCTTTAACAAGATTAACAAGACATTTCGGCAAAGGCTCAAATGACCAGTCAGCCAGGCACCCAGGCGTGTTTCCGGTACCACTACGACATGCCACCGTTGGCAGTCCGCCGTGGTTGAGATCAGGTCCCTTAAACGGGAGCCGATCTCACCCACCGGTCCGTCCTGACGGAGGTCCAGAGGGTCCAAATTTGCTTCAGACCTGTCTTGCATTGCCCGATGGGCACATTGGGCTGAAGAGAGAAAATTTGGAGAAACGCAGAAGTCCAAAAAGAACTCCTCTATATAACGGTATCAGTAACGGTATCATGTATATATATATATATACATATATTTGCATGTTTGTCATAGAAATCCAAGCATGGAGGCTTTCTGAAACAGTACCACTCCATTTTCACTACAGTGACGGACATTTCTTGTATATAGGTCCTTGTGTTGTTGGGTCCACAGAAGAATGAAGATAAGCCAAATTGCAGGACAAAGAGGATGCATTTGAGTGCAGGGAAAGACCCTGAGTCTCCCTGAACGCGCACATGGGTTTGAGGCGCCAAACCAGCGCGAAAGCTCACGTCCCAAAACGGGACCACCTCCATGGCGCAAGGCCTCTCCTGCGGAGCTGCAACTGCAAGCCACCAAGGCTTCGACCAGACTCTGCACCGATCGGAGGAAAAGCTTCCCTCCCTCCCTCCAAGATGACGGGTCTTCAGGTGTTCTTCATGTGCTTTGAGGCACATGAAGGCGAGATGAGAGAGTTGAACATGTGTCAATCTGAGATGAAGATGACGATGGAACCCTGCTTTCTAGAGGAAAAATCTGTTTTGGTCCTGGGAGCCTCTATTTGCTGGTTCACTGCTGCCCTGTGTCGAAGCACATGCGGGGTTTGGTTGGGAAGCGGTTCGGTTCACTCGTCAACCAGGACGGCTCTGTCTTGATTTCCCGTCTCCAAATAGGTTTTGGGGAGGCCTGTGGCCATTTTTGAATCTTTACATCCTCGCATGCCTGGTGACATCAGTTCCTATGAACTAGTCCAAAAGAACTGATGCCACCAGAGTCGCTTGGGGCGGATTGGCAGATGTGGCAGGTGGCGGCCCAGGCGCGCATGGTGCTGGAACTGGATGCTGGAGTGCCCTTAGGCTTCTTCCTCAACGAGGAGGTCCGCCCGAGAGCTTTCCCGGCGGCGACGGTGGGCCAGGCAGAGAAGCTTTAGGGGTGACGTGGTGCGACCGTGGATTCCGAGTGAGTGTAGAGCACCCAGCCTACAGCGTGGCAATCAGCAGGGCGCCTACACAGGAGAATAGTTGTAAAACCAGGTGTGGTGACATAGCCTGCAGCCCTTTACAATGCTAGTGGGGTCACAGGATGTCACAGGATTGTTCCGCTAAAGAAGTTGAAGAGTTTCCTGCAATAGATTTACACCTTTGCCAGAGTTCTTGACAAGAGATGTGCACGGCCAAGCGAAACATAGCGAAACCACCTTGGGCTGGGAACGGAACAGTATACCAAAGGGAAGAAATCAAGTTTTTACATGTGCGTTTCATCGCTCTTAGGTTGGAGGCCATCGCTAGTAGGTTGGAGGCCGGAGGAAGAACCCTGAGATGTTCCTCAAGGTCTACGAGTTCGCCATCCGTCGACTCGTCAGGGTGTCCAGCTCTTGGAACATCGAAAGCGTCGGCTGCTGCAGCTGTCGGGAGTCTCAGCGGATGCCATGGCCACTCGTTCGATTTCTCCTGATCAAAGAAAAAGGTGTTCTTAGTGCATCACCTTCTTGATTATATATATAAAATGATATAAAATGAATGTGCTTGATTTGTGTTTTTTTAGATTCAGACTCATCCAAGCGTCCGATGTTCCACCAACTCCTTGTTCCACTGTGGAAGGGAGCTCGTGAACGCGTATGTCACTCTGAGGACTCGTTTGAAGGACTTGGTCAAACACCGAGAAAAGGCGAAGACCTGGGAGGCACGCTGCTGGATCATGGAGACCTGGGGAGGGGTCGGTGATGGTGTCGGTGATGGTGGGGTTTTCTTCTTTCGAAAAGAAGTCAGTCTGTATTTTTTTCCATACTTTGAAACCGATTCCGAGCTCGGCATTCATTGTAAAAGGTGAGAGGAGTCGCAAGTCTTCTCATTCTTCAACGCCAAACGTTCCTTCTGCCAAGGGACTTGGTCTTGGAACAACCTCTAGCACCTGTGAAACAAGCAACGTACCTTGGAAGTCCATGTTCGCATCAAGAATGTTTTGGAATGACACCTTGATTCATGGCCTGTAAGATCATGTTCAGACGTAAAACTGAAAGTTAGCTACACCTGGCACTGGGCAAGACAAAGGATGACAAAGGGCAGTTGGGCTGCCTGGCTTCAGAGAGACGCCTGCAGGAGGGGCGCGGCGGAGTTCCAAACGGTGAAAACAAAAGAAAAGACCTCCCCGGCCTCCCCCTCCGTCACCTGGTCAACGTATTGCCAGACTGCAGAAGAGCTCTATGTCGTGGTGCCGGGTGAGAAAATCCCTGGCCCAGAAAGCCGCTTGCCAGGTGAGGTACGATGCGAGACCGACGAACACGCATCCCTCGAAACGTCGCCGAAGAGGGTGGCACGTAGGCCGAAGAGCAAGTCACTGCGTTGATGTTCCGGGAACGCATGAGTGATGATTGTTAGTAGCTCATCCGGAAGAGGCTAGTTGATTGTGAACCATTGCGAAATGTTGTTCAAGCCTTCAATGAGGCCTCAAAGCTCCATTGGATGTTTGCCTTTTGCTGGACGTAATTACTTCTATCATAGATCATAAGCCGAGTTTAGGCCGATACCCCGAGAATCTCAAGGATGGCAGGATCTGACAGAATTTAGTTTGATCTCCTTTGATGCCCAACAAATGCTGCCACGGAAGTCACACTCTGTTGAAGGGAGAAATCCCGCAGTCCATAATGTGAGATAAAGACACGTAGTTGGACCTTCTGTTTTTTCACTATTCCAGAAGGATTCTCCAACCGTCTTTCTTGTCTTTCCAGCACTTGGCCAAACTTCGGGACGGCTGGACACAAACTTTCTGACGACCAGCTTTCCAATTTCCAAGCACAGGTTGACATACCCGAAAACATGGCAGGAGCGCCTGTTCACTATGGTTCAAACGCTATTGAGTCGTAATTTACAGTGTTTTGTGTGTTGTTTCGTTTCAGTGGCTCTTGACCAACTGTTCAGCTTTTGCTGTGTTTGCAGCATAGGTGGCCGATAGAACTCTTTGGGGAGTCTTCTGAACTGGCCCATCTACCCCCAAAAAACGCCCTTTTCTCTACGTGTGTGTGTGTGTGTGCACTTAGCTTCATCTTGAATGCATTTAAATGCACGTGCAACCGAATGTCTTTACCTCCCAAAAGGCGCTCCAGCCGAAAACATGGCTGCTATTCTCCAAGCCGAACCCACAGAAAAGGAAGAAGTAGCTAGTTGAAAACCCATCAACTTGGTCTGGGGGCTCTCTCAGTTTGAGACCTGGCGCATGACCCTAATCTTGACGGAACGTGCAGGTCAAACGCCTGAGGGCCTGCAATTCGAGCATCTGGGCGAAACAGTTGGAAGGGACTGCATTCTTCCACCATGGAAAGATCATAGTCATAAATATATATATATAGAGAGAGAGAGAGGAGGTTTGATGTCATTTAGGTTGCATGGCCACATGGCATATTATATGTTCTAGGTGCAGCATCCAGTGCTGCACATCAGGAACTCTGGCATACAATCGTGCGTAGAGTTAGAGCCGGTTTTTGTATTCAGCAATTCACTTTCCGCTCGCATTGATGTAACCGTGCCTCAGCAGCAGGCTGTGTGGCTAACAAGTTTTGAGCATGGCCAAGGCTATTTCTCACTACCCAGAGTTCCGGGGCGTGTTTTGTTCAGCATGATTCAGCCGTACTCAGCCCATAATGTTTCATAGTTGAAACCCACCTTAAATTGCTGCTCAACATCATAGAGCCCGAACTGATTGACGTGTCAATTTCACCGTTTTCCTCTTGCCAGTGCCGCCAACGCCGCAGTCACGCGTGACCTTTCCGGCAGAGGGCGGTCCCTCAGGATGGGTCGACTGGAGATTCCGGACCACTATCTTCGGGCCGCTTGGAGAAGGGTGAAAGACGGTGAGAGGGATGAACGAAAAAGTCAAAAGAGCCGAAACCCTGAGGTTTGTAAACCGGTATATATGTATTATTAGGTATTGTGCGATTTATACTCCGAAGAACTATATGCCCTTGAAACAAGTGAGTTGAGTGGACATAAGTACATACAAACAAAATTATATATATATATATATACATACCAAATACCCGTTCATGCTCGAAGGGTCTCCAAGATCCAGCTCTGAGTCACCGGACTCTCAGCAATCTGTGAGGATGCCGGCATGGAAGGCCATGCCGAGAGCCTTTGGAAAAGCCTCGTGAAGACGGGTAAGGCCGGTGATCTCCGCTGAAGCGGCTGTGACCCGCGGGTTCATGTTTCAGGCGACCCAAATCGACCGGGCGTGTGTCCTTTTCCAGATCGTCACCGTGTTGCGAAGTCGGTAGATCATTCGGGACCTCAAGAGTTTTGAGGGTTGCCAATGTGGGGCCTTGGTCTCCAAGCTACTAGCGATGGCCTCCAACCTAATAGCAATGGCCTCCAACCCGTCAGGGTTGCCAATGTGAGGCCCTGCCGTTGCTTCTCCACTTCCATCTCAGCTCTTCACCAGGCCAGTGAGCCAGCTGATCCCTCGGAGCTACAGTGGTGGGCCTCTGGTGGCATCGAGGCGGCGGAACCGGGACTGTGGGAACACCCTGAAAACGCGAGCTTCGATCGATCGCTTGGATTGTGCATTGTTTGCATGCTGAAGATTGTTGAACATTTTATTGCTACTTGGAGTTGTGCAATGCAAGTAGAACCCCTCAATGATGAATTTTGGCAACAAGATTAAATATATATATATATAAAGCAATTATAATTCAATTTGTGATAATTTCACCTGTGTTTCGTAAATTCTATTTTCGTTTAAGGCCAAGGGACAATATGTTCTAGAACATAATTTGTATATTTGTATAGAACATATTTACAAAAAAATATATATAAATATAATAGAAATATTATATTGATTAAATATAAAACATATATATTATAGTTATGTTTAACAAACACAATAGTTTAAGAAATGGTTTATATATATATATGGTAATATTTATATCTAAAATATATCATATAATAAATAACGATATTATCGTGATGGTCTAAGGAAAAATTATTCTATTTTTTTATGTAATTGAGATTTAAGAATTTA